GCCCAAAGCATGATCACGGCTCGGTCACATGGAAGACACAAAAAGGTCCAAGACCAACGAGCCAACACACGATTCTAGAAAACCTTGTGACCGTGCACAAAGAGGTCGGGGAAAGTTCATCGCATCGTCAGGATATAACGACCCTTGCGGCGACCCAAACAGGAAGTATGACCCGGAACCCACGGCTCGGGGGCTCGTTGCAACCATAGGGGAAGCCTAAGAATTTATAGATACAAGAGCGGCCATACCGCTAAAACACCAAGGGCGGGCATCATCTCGATGGTGATGCTGACTGACAACCCAAGGTCGAATAACGCAGAGGACGCACAGGCAATGCATACCTCACCTACTCCTCAGCGAATGGCATGACCTTGGGGACCACATGCTGGGGGAACTATTGCCATCCCTTCAGCAACATAGGGATCTCGGCTATCATGGGCAAGCAAAGCGCAGATGGGACATCATCCTGATCCGTTCAACATGGACAGCATGGTAGGGCCATGCAACTTTGTCCTCCCCTACTCCATGAGTAGTCCCAAATAGACGTTGGGTGAACCTTTAGCGGGATCCCGACATGATGTTGGACAACGTGCGAAACTCAGGGAGAAGCCAGAAATGCCTCTGGCCATCGCACATTTCAAGCACATGAACCACCAAGGTTCAGGGCAAGAACTGGCGATGGGGTAGCAGACCGATGTGGCATATGACCTGACTCGGTGGCCACACTACCTCTCAGTCCCTAGCTCACAAGTCGCCTTCTAGCACCAGTTGTTGGGAGGGGCGAAGCCAGCCTCTAGCCACCACAAATGATCCCTAGTGGATCACACGCTTGAAGCCCCATGGTTCCCTTTAGATTTTTCTCTCCTTCCTTCCTCTTAGACTTAGCCTCCTAGAGGGGCTAAAACCAAGTTCATAGAAGTAGCTGAAGGTGCCTTAAACGGTAGAAGGGTCCCTATTTATAGGCCCAAAGGTAGACTGAATAGCCTAAGATCCCCGCGCCGCGTGGCGAACCACGGGAGGTCACAGCGAATGTCAGATGCTCACGTGAGGTTAGGGGAATCGAGACCCTCCTAGAAATAGGGCCAGTATAGCATCGATGAGACCACTCGGCTCCACTTGGGTCACGAACCACGATACGCAGCACACTAACACGGCAGGGCTCAACAATCTGGTACCACATTGTTAGGACATCCTGACGGGGCAGAACATAAGGCCACTTACCGCATTGAGCGCACCAGCCCACAAGGGGTCGAGCAACGAAGCTCGGACAGACCACGACCACGAACCCATACTCAACGAACACGCATCTCAGCGCTTTCATGATTACTTCGTGATCATAAAAATGCTTGGGGCTACTATCGGGGTTATGATCCCCAGGTGTCTCAAGGCAACGATTAGTTAGCAGGCCAAGCGGCCTGTTATACATCAGCAAGCAAGGGCCCGAACGACCGAGGCCCAGCTGATCCAAGAAAACTAGGCCAGGTGCTAAGGCCAAAGTCAGCCACGACCCCTTCATTAGACTTGGCCGCATGACGCTCGAGAAACTCATGACCTCTCCACATTCCTGACCCCTAGTAGGAACAAGGAGAGGTCGGACCCAGCCAAGCGTGCCTACTCCGATAGGAGTGAGCATGCCACACTGACCCCGCAAGGACTGAGGGGACAGTAGCCACCTTGGTCCGGTCAGACGCCATCCCGGTGCCACATAGCTCAGACGAGACAACACCGCCCAGCGGTGAGAGCCGATATGGTGCCCACCGTCTAGATATGGCCCGACAAGACGAATGTATGATTCTACCCACTAAGTGATGGTATCCACGATGGAGGCCTTGACTTAGAGGCCACCTGCTCCACAAGCCAACCAGGCGACCAACGACCAGGGGGTGGCCACCAAGTCTTGTACGGCTCCCCCAGGAGACCAAGAAGCGATGATGAAGGCCACGGTAGAGACCACGTCATGTAGGACAACTGATGAACCACCACCGTGCCAACGGTGCTGCCATGGCTAGCACAGTGGTGCCATGCCACACCTTACCGCAACATGGGCACAAGACCATGACGACAACCACGCCTAGACATGCACCATAAGACAGCGTAGCTTGCAAGCCAAGCTAGATAGGCCCCTCCCTCAAGCTTACGACCCCTCAGTCGGGAGAACCTCCTTCTTTGTACATGCCCTGGCCCCAAACTCTATATAAGGGCAGCCAGGGCACCCTCTCTGAGGACATTCTCTCATTCTACATATCTCTAGACTCCTGAAGCTTCCCTTCAGGCAGTTCATCCTCTAGCTCTAGCTCTCCTACCTCTTCCACCATTCTTACACCCCCCATTGTAAGAACTTTGGAGCATTCAAGCAAGGAACACACACTTAATCATCTCTGAGACTAGACATAGGGCTCTGGCCTGAACCAGTGTAAATCCTCGTGTCTTTTGGATGCTACCATCGTCTTCCTAGAACAACACGACAATATTAAAATTTAATAGTCTGGTTTACAAAAACACCGACATCGCTATAAAGAACTCCTTGTAGACAACAACCTCGTTGCCACGAGGGTCTAGAACAACTTCCCCTTTCGACGGCCTTGCAAGGTCACGAGGGAACCAACCCATCTTCACGTACTCATCCAATTCCTTCAAGGTGACCCTCGAAGGACCAAACTCAAAACTCACAGCTACATCTGACGAAGAGTCAATAGCCTCAGAGCTATCAATAGGCCTCGCAGTCCTCTTCACGTGAGCCATCAAGCTACAAAACAAAAACACAAAGACTCATTAGCACAAACAATAGCGAAGTACACTTAAAACAAAAAACAACTAGCACTCACCCAAAAGGAAAAAAAGGCGGTAGACGGAGCAAGCAAACAACAAACCCTCGACCAAACCAACAATCCTCGCACTAGCACAACCCTCACTCACCAGATACAGCAGCAGCAACTAGCCAGAAAACAAGAAGTGGAACAACAAAAAACCCTAAAACCTACCACAACTATTTATAGGTGCCCCACGACCACTGGAAAGGAATGTGTGCATCCCAAATCCTGAGAAAACAGGGCACCGACGGCCGCCACAAATCCCAAGAAAAACATGAAATAACCCTCGACAATCGCGCGTCACATCAAACCTTAAGTAGCACCACCATCTAAAAATAGTGCAACCTCACCCCTAAACTACGAGCCCAAAACAGTTAAAGCCTAGCATTGGCCAAGCAAAATGGGGGCGTCGCTAGGCCAGGTGGCAGGCTAGGCACCCTTGCCTACCCCCTTCCACGAGTTTCAATGTTGCTCCGACACATCATGCTGGGCCCGACCCTCGAGGGGCTACTCTTGGGGGAAAGCTATCCTGGCACAGCTCCTACCCTAGCACTCGACCATCTGCTGGCTTCGACTAGATTGCCTCGCGGCGGGTATCCAACCTCGCCGCGAGGGTTTTCTGTTCATAATGATTGACCTGTGTTTTCAGGTGTCGCGTGCGAAGGCCCGCCTCTTCGACCGAAGGACCACTGCGGGAGAGGCGCTAACTGATGGCAATTGATGAACCCTCGCTCGGGACACGCGAAGGTTGGGCGCTGACCGCAAAGAGGAAACAACCTTGAAGGCGGCGGTGGCCCCATCACGATGGCTGGGGTTCAGGGTAGTTGGCCAAGGGAAGGAGTTTACCGCCGTACCCTTGGCCATTGTACAACAATTGTCTTTTCCAATGTAACCCTAGCGTAATTTCACCGTGGCCCGGGTGTGGTCTATAAATACCCGGGGCGCTCGTGTAAGAAAATGGGCTCTTCTTTCCTGAACAATTTAATGGGTATTTAATCCGCATTTACGCTTTGTCTCGTGCTCTGTAACCTTCGCTCATACATTCACCGACACCCACTCGATCTTCTCCCTGTGGGAAACCCTCGGCCTCTCCCTACGCGATCCTCAGCGAGGGCGAGAGGTCAGGAGTGACCCCACACACGGGCACATTTGCTAGTACTTTATAAAAAGGCAAAATTTCTACCTCTTTTTTTGTCTAGGCTGTTTTCGTCTGGCCCAGTCTAATGTAGGCTAACAGTCTGGTTCGCAGCCCACTCGCTTGTGGCCTTCTCCACTCACTTGTAGCCCACTGGCTCACGGCCCACTCCAACCACGGTTCCAAAATTTGCTCATGCCCCACTCCAGCCAGCCATAGTAGTCTGAAAAAATCCCCGCAACCTAAAAATGCCACTTATGGGATTCGAACTTGGCCACCAGGATTGCAAACAAATTACCTACCACCGCACTACAGGAGACTACGGCTCTGTTCATTTAGCTGAAATTTGATCGCTACTGCTGCTGATGTTAATTTCTTGTTAGAGAAAAACATAGTTCCTTTACTGAAAAGTATCGTTGAAGAAGTGCTGAAGAACAGCATGTACGTGTTATCTAACAATACCTTTATGTATTTACCCGGTAAAACTTCTGCCATATAATTTTCCCTTCCGTTTGATTTTTTTGTTGGCCTTCCGTCCGATTCTTTATTTAAGATTTCTTTTGCTTTTGCTTTTTGCATCCGTTATCCTCGTAGGTGACTTTTTCCATTGATTTTTCTTTAAAAAATAAATATTATGGACCTTTGAACAGTTGATTTTTTCTCTAAGAATTTTTTTTCTATTGTCAAGTTGTTAACGTAATTTGATTAGAAACATATTCATATTCAAACATGATGGCAGAACCTTACCGTGTTTGAGATCTCAGATGTAAAGGACAATTGGATTGTCGTCGAAACTTGTCGGTAAGTGGTAGAGGTTCACTGGGTTTTGCTCCATTTGGATGCAACGACGAACAATGGTTGCCCACAAGAACATAGCAATTAGGAAATATCATTTTTATTGAATTGTCAAACACGGAGCCGTCACAAAATGACAAGAGTAGGAGACACAAACAAAATCAGCATCAAACATCATTGACCAACTATATATAAAAGAACATAAAAAAAAAAGAAACCGACCATCGTGAACATGCATTGTGATCGATGGATTTGTGACTCTACTTGTCGCCGTACGTGTCCTTGAGATAGCCGATGAATTCGTACACCTTCTCCGGCGGGTACAGGTTCTTGGCGACGCTCTCCCTCTCGCCGCAGCGCTTGGCCCACGCGAGCAGCCTCGGGCACACCTCCTCGACGCTGAACTCCGCGAGCCGGCCGTATCCGAGGAACCACGTCGCGAACGGCACGACGGCGATGTCCACGAACCCGAACGCCTCGCCGGCGAGGTAGGCCTTGTCCCCGAGCTCGGCGTCCAGGGTCCGCAGGGCCTCCACCATCTCCGGCCGCGCCTGCGCCTGCGCCTGGCCCGTGCGCTTCCACAGCGTGGTCCCGCAGTCGAAGACCTTCTTCTCCGCGTAGTCGGCCCAGAACCTGGCGTGCGCGCGGGCGACGGGGTCGGCGGGGAGCAGCGGCGGCGTCCCCGGGAACGCCTCGTCGAGGTAGTGCAGGATGATGAGGGACTCGCAGACGGGGGGCCGCCCATCGTGGAGGAGCACGGGGATCTTCTTGTGGACCGGGTTGACGCGCAGGAGGAGCTCGCCCTTGTTGGCGAGGTCCTGCGGCAGGGACTCGTACGCCAGGCCTTTCTCGGCCAGCGCGATGCGGCACCGCTGCGCGAACGGGCTCACCCAGAAGTCCAGCAGCTGGAGCCCCGTCTTCTCGCCCGCCATTGCTGCCTTGCTCCGTCCGATGTTTTCTTCCTGTCTGTCTCTGTGTATGAGCGTCTACTGGGAGGGAGAGGATGATGGTATGCCCATGGGAAGGAGGAGACGGTCAGAGGACGGAGAAGAGGCTGTCGCATGCAAAAGGCGCGCTACTGTCACGGCTTGCGTCATGGGTAGGCGCCTACAAAGTGGCTGGCGTGGGTTCAGGCAGCACAGACCAAAATGCGACCACATTGCCCGCAGAGGATCAGGGGCTCGGCAGCGAGATGCGACACAGGGTGACGCCGGCTCGTTGTCGAACGCAGTCTGCTGCAGTGCTGCTGCGGACTCCGCAGTCTCCACGCGCTCGTTGGAAGATCGATCATCGCTACTCTACCCAGGGCCAAACCATAGTCAAGGTTTTGTCACTATGGACACTATAGACAGCAACATGCAAATTGGCAAAAAAAAATGTGTACTCTGGTTATATTTTCTGTCAAGGTAACTTTTTCCAGCCGCATTAGGTGACTTGGCACGGTGATCTCAAGCCTTGGATATGGTTTGTACTTTGTACAGATTACCATTCATAATGGTTTAACGTTTTAACCCACTAGTCTTGATCGCTGTCGATTGGTTTGGATATTTTGTAGCGTGTTAATTTAAAAAAAAAAAAGTCATATGATCTTCTTTATAATTAAAAAATATTCCTAAGGTGCTGTTTGGATATTGGAAAATGTAGGGTGGGATTATAGGAAATACATGTGCAAATAGGTTTACTGCATGTAAACAAGTAGCAAGGTGCAAAAGATAGTGGATGGTTATGCAAAATGTTCTTAGAAGCATCTTAGCATTTTAGGACTGATATATGCAAATTTTCAGAATTAATACCAAGCCTTTGTTCATCCCAAAATTCATTATACTAGGAAAAACAAAAAAGAGTCTCTCAAGGATGAAAAGTCTAAGGTCCATGAGAATTTACAAAGCCCATATACCTTATACCATGCTTTTAGTGTAATCTTTCAAGATTTATTCTTACAATTACATGGTACTAGGTAGCGTGTCCGTGCGTTGCTACGGGATAGCTAATAATTCGTACTAAAAATACACGGATCGCACAATAAGATAACAATGTTGTAAAAATTAAATACCAACGTTAAAGTGGCATTTAATCAAAAAGCAAAGTTTATGAATTTAACACGACCACGAGTGCTTGTGGCGTCATGAGCTCACAAACTCTACTTTATAGACATTTTTAAGTGATGCGGCTAAAATAATGTTTTATATTAACAGAAAGAAATCTCCGATATCCATTTCTTTCGTGCTCACAAACTAATGACCCTGGTGTAACAATGGAAAATACAAAGGAGTTATCCTCCTGAATGCGCGGAACCAACGCCACTACGATCGTGCCATCCCACGACCACTGGTATGGTGTTGTTTAGCACTATTGTTCATTATTATTGCTAACTTATTTCGTTGGTTTTATTCAAGTAATTTATGTTTATAATTATGCAGGTGCTAATTCGGTTGATCACACATTGGCACATGAGAAAAGTGGGAAAAGTCGACAAAACTCATGGTTTTGAGAACATACATGTGTAATAGTTATGAATGGTTACAAAATGAAATATTATGAACAAAACACTCAAAGTGTCATTTTTATAACAATAATATAACACATGTTCAATTTTTATTATGCCATCACACAAGTGTATATACAACATCTCCGTGTAGAGTCTGATAAACCATTTAAAAATACTTAGGAACAGCAACAAATATGACATTAGTGAGATATTATTTGTACAATATAAATTGAATGGAAAAAATGCATTGTATGCGTTAGTAATGTTCTCATTACCTCGCCTATATGCGTTAGAACCTCCTTAAATATAATATTCTTAAATGAAAGTTCCATCCGCTATTGGGGTCTTCTTATCCTTATCTTTTTTATTTGATGCATTCTTATTTTTTCCCCCTCGGCATTCTTTTTAGCATTTTTCTTCTCAATCTTTTTGGCATCCTCCTCTTGTGCCTCCGCATCAGGTGGGAGGGCAAGGATCTTAATATTGTTTATTGACGTGGCTCTAGACATCGCGCGTACAATGGCCGACCGTGAGAGAACATCAAAGCGGGTAGGTACACACCCGTTCGGGATAGTTTGGCCCTATGACTTGTTGACCATCATGGCAAAGCTCGGCCCTAATAGGAAACTACTTCCTCTTAAACTGAACAGAATATTTCGTCATCGACGGGCATAGCGGTATTCGAGGAAGGAATACCGCTTCCCATCATCTTTGCCCCACCACGATTTCATGTCGATTGTATTTCTTCTCGAACCCCGCACCACCAGCCTTGTACCGTTGCATAGCCCATTGGCGGTCAATATTCCTAAGCAATATGACATGACACCCAAGCTTGAGCTTCAAGGCGGTGGAGGCAGCCCGTTGGAGGTCAAACTATTAAGGAACTCCGATGGATAGTAGTTATGTGGATCATCTACATGGAGTCAAAGCGTGATACACCCGTCTCACCGCCTACAGAACATATCAATCATTTTTATATTGATCATGTCCACCCAATCGTTACGTGTAGATAAAATCGCTCTAGTGGTGATGTAGTCTTTATGCGCCATGTTTGCATTTAGATCTGGAAAGATGATGTCGATCAATGTATGAAGATCTTTCTCGGCATATCCGTAGTATGGGACACATATCTCAAATGCGAATACATACATTGCCATCTTCGTTAACCTCTTACATTCCACCACCAATGCGTAATAGATAATCGCAAACCACGAGTCACTCTGAGCCCTCATGTTATGGAACGGAGCTTTAGGTGGCGCATGGATTCCTAAAGATACGACCTTCGTGAGAGAAGCACCGACTATTTGAGCTCTGGATCCTTTCCGCACAATAGGGAGGACTTGTCTAAAATCCCACCAAGTACAACAGTCTTTTCACCAAAGCAGGTAGGTTTGACCGGCCCATTATATCCCGTGAGGTTGTTGTCTAGTGCTTCCACATTTTGCCTCTTTGTCATAGATGCCTCATCCCAAATTATGAGAGATGCTTGTTTGCAAAGAATCTTGGCATACCACTCTATTTACGTGAAGCTACAAAGAACCGCCCCTCTTGAAGAGTGAGGGGTATCTTGAAACAGCAGTGGGCTGTCCTCCCACACGGCATTATGGTTGTTGCGACTCCAGATGTAGGCAGCCAGCTACAACAAGCTTGTCTCTGGCGCTGCGTTTTTTGCAGAAGTGCCCTATACAAAAATGTCTTTCCCGTCTCGCTAGGTCCATCCACAAAGAACAACCCGCCTTGTTTGCTGTAGACAGCGGCCATTATCTCATCATAGGCAGACCTTTGCTCGGCGTTGAGTGAGTCACACAATAGCACATCTTCGGGATTCTGATCAATGCTAGCTTCCTCAAATATCTCACGAGGAATATAGCTGGCATCGTCGTATGAGTGATCAATATCTGGAAGAGGAAATGACCTTATGTCCTTCCCCATAGACTGTAGCATGTTTCTAATGTCTATCAAAACCATTTGTTGCACCAGATCCGGGGATGGATGATTGCGGCTGTAGTCCTTTGACATTGCATCATAGTGTTTTTTCACAACCCCATCACATCATGCGGCTCGTAGAATACCAATATTGTTGCAAATAGCCTCCGCATAGAGGAAGGCATCTAGAATAAAGTTGCTTCAGTTAGACATTCATCTAGTGTATTGTCTTCTTGATTAGACCCTCTTTTGCAGCGACTTCACCGGAACAAAGGTAGTAGCACGCCATCAACCGTCCTCGAGATGTTCATGTGAGGTAGCACCGACAACATTGTTCAAGAGAACATGAAGAAGGTAACGTTCTCCCGAGATGACTCTTCCAACTTGAAAATGGAGTTTTCCTTTTACGCCGAATTTACCATCGATCATAGGTAAAATGTCTGAGAAGTCCCGATACAAGATTCCAGCTGGGCTTCCTCGTGATGCCTATTGCATTGAAGTATCTTTATCGACATTGACTCTTCTACACCTAGCCTATTAACGATCCATTCGACCTTATCCCATTTATGAACCCGCCACCATGTGCATGCCGGGTAGATGAAGCTACAATTTCTTTGTCTTTGGTGGATGGTTCTTCTCAAGTCAAAGTCATATATCCTCCATAGTGCTTCGGGGGCGTCACCCACCGGGCATCTCTATACCGCTTGATCTCATCAATGTTCCCTTTCTTGTCCGCTTTGGTCGGTCTCTCTCATCACCACCAATGCCGTGTCATGTCCCTTGTATATGTATTTGAATAGATACTTTACTGATTTAATGCTCCCACAGGCCTCAACATTGATATGGTAGTTGAAGGTACGTAGCAAGCAAGGGTTGTAAGGCACGACACATTGATTGTCCAGGTAATGGCCTCGAACTTTTAAGCGTGAAGCCATGATTGCGTCATGGCCGATAGATGGGGTATGAATCCTTTCCACGTGGCGTTGCCTCATAGAATGGGCGGGGTAATGTTCTTGCATGACCATGGCCCACCGTGGCGGGACAATATGGATTTAGCATCCCGCAGGGACCATGCATCATATGCTTCATCACCATCTCGTAGAGTTCAGGGTACTTCTTGTTTGGTAGCTCTGCTCTGATAATCATGTCACATTGCTCGGGACATGTGAGCTTGTACTTCCGTTCCATTATCAGCAAGAAGTGTGCATGCGACAAGCCCTCTTTCCTCGAACTCCACTACATATCGTAGGCCTTCACCTTCCCAAGTATGTCTTTCTCATCAACACTTTCCTCATCGCCTCTAACTTTGCTCTGAAGACCCGTGTGACTAGATCTGGGCGGTCCTATGGTGTCTGGCCTGGATAAAGTTCATTCTTAATCTCATCCTAGTTAGTATTGCACGTCATTGTGAGGAAGATATCAGGTTTACCATACTTTACGCACAGGAAGCGATTGCATCCATGTATCGGCGCCTCATATCATGGGGTCCTCCGATGAATGACGAAGAAAACAGACGAG